ACTGTGGCCGTCGATAAGAACTTCGAGGTCACTAGTTCGCCGTCTTGCTTTACAGTTAGGGTGTGGCGTCAGGTCACGGCTGCGTCGGCTTGTTCTGCTGCTTCCATGTTGCGTCGTCAGGTCACGTTCGGTAAATGAGGTTTCGCCGTCAAAGCTTTGCCTGGTTGGCGTTGTGTTCGGAAAGCTCTGTCGCGGTGGCGTCATCGGAGGAGGATCATCAAGGTTCGTCGCACAGCAACCACACCTCCATCGGTTGCTGCCCTAAGTTTCCCGGATAAGGGCTAGGAGACCGGCCCCATGTTGGGCCAGAGTACTCCTGGTGATGCGGTGACATGCGGCGTCTGGGCAACGGCAAACGGGAAGGACTTCGTGGTGTCCACTGAGTTCTTGTCAGGTAGTCGGTGATGTCGCGTGGCCGTTCCCCTGGCTGCAGACGTGGTGCATTGACGGCGAAGCCACGCAGTGCCATCTGTCGGTACTATCAATGGCGGTATGTGTGCCCGACCTCGCCGCAGTGGTAGCAGAGCGGGCGGTTGTCAGGTGAACGCCAAACGTCCGTTTTCCTCGGCGCACTGCGCTAGCCCGCTGGCGAATGGTAAGACGTCGGTGGGGGTGGTGGCGGCGGTGGCGTCTGGCGACGGAAGTGCGATGGGGCGGCGTTTTGGCATGGACAAGGAGGAGCGTTGTGGCGCACTGCCGCGGGATAGCTCATAGTTTCCGGCTCGGGCAGCGGTGTTTGGGGAATTCGAAGCGATTGCCAAACTTCTTCTCGCACAAAGTCGGCGATCGAATCAACTTAAGGCTGCGCCGAAGGCAACAGCTTGCGCAGCTCTTCCCGCACGATCGCTTGGATCGTTTCACGCAGGTCTTCGGAGTCACTGGCTTAAGCAGCAGCGCATTCTAGAGTCCAGCGACGATTATACTGTCTGGTGCGCATGTCCAGGGCTTTTTCGACAGTGGTCGCCACGAGTACAAATTCTTGGACGGTGTTTGGTGGATTCCTCATTGGTCCCTTGAAAAGCTCCTGTTTGACCACTCACATGAGGACACGAACTTTCTTCTCCTCATGCATGTCTGGAACAGCGTGACGGAATAGGCGGGTCATCCCTTCTGTGAAAATGGCAACATTTTCATTTGGCAGCTGAACCCGGGTCTCTAGTAAAGCAGCGGCCCTCTCTTTGTGAGCGACGCTCGCGAACGTTTGCAGGAATGCGCCGCAGAAGACATCTCACGTTCGGAGCGTGGACTCCCAATGCTCGACCCGGGTCCTTAAAGTGTCTTCCAGGTAGAAGTACACGACGGAGCTTTTCTCCATTGTCCCAGTGGTTGAGGGCAGCCACACGGTCGTATGTTTCTAGCCAGGTCTCTGGGTCTTCGAACGATGACCCATGGAAAGTTGGTGGTTCCCTGGGTTTATGCATGACGATCGCGGGCTGGGACGGTGTGGTTGTCATTATCGCTGCAGTCGAGGTCATGGCCTTTGTCTTCCGCGCCTTGTCTTGTAGAAGCTCGTACTCCGGTGATAGACCTTGATGTCGGCGGCTGTTCGCGGCTCCTGGTTGGCGTCAATGTCTTCTCGGAGACGTGGGCTGGGTTCATGGCTTGACGGGGGCGTCTGGTACATGAACAAAGCAGCACCTCCACCAGATGTCACGGGGTCGTGACGTTGCCGAAAACAGGAGACCTTATGTTGGAAATTGACTGTTTATTTGGGCGAACCTGTGCCCGGTAAACGGAAAGTCCGATTACAGTAGCAGTCTTGCACAGATAGCAGTGAACAAGCGTCGGCCGTCGATCAACTACTTTCAAACGGCAAAGTGCGTCGGCGTTTATACTCTTGCCATCGAATGTTCTAGCGTTATCGCTGTCGGTGACGTAGGTTCCTGACTAATCTGTACAGTTCACAGAGTGGGCGTGATCATATCGAAATAATCTATTACAGTCCTGAAGCTTCTCGAAAACTGCAGGCGCGGTTTGCGCTGAGAAATGTGTAGTATGTAGTGTAGTGTGTGTAGTGCGTAGTGTGAGAATTGTGTAGTGTGTAGTGGGCGATAACAAAACTTGAGAAATAGAACGTGGCAATATCAATGCGCAGATGGCAACGCCGAAATCGATGCTGTTATAATTTTAATTTTTCTTCTTCTTCTTCTTTATTTGTTTCTTTCTGTGCCAGTACAGAAAACGGAGCAAAAGCAAAAGGCTGAAAGCCTGACTAAGGGCCTTTGCTCGAAACACAGTGAGGCTGACAGGCTGTCATAAGAACTTTGCAGGATACAGAAAAAATACAAAAATATACAAAAATACAAAAGGTACATGTGCAAATACTGTAACACATACAACAGTAATAAAATGTTATTTCTAGTAAACAGATATATACATAACCATCGTAATGTTTTAAATACCAATAGATATAAGTTGGGATTTGTCATCACTATTGCAAGAGATATACAAAAATAACAATATACACAGGGTAGCATAGGAAAAAGAACACACACATAAAAAGCATCAGATACTACTTAGGCAAAGCGGACACATAGAACGATAGTCAAGAAAATTCAATGTTGTTTTCAATCAATACCATCCTGATCGTATGCTTAGAAACTGTACCATTTATATCTAGAAGGCTGTCGATTTTGTTTAAAAACGTGGGTATCTGAAAATATGAGCATTGTCGTCCATAGATCGTTCGAGTCTTCGGAGTCCTTCTAGCATAAGTACGAAAATCGTACAGAGAACCACGAGAATCAAGCGAATGATAGAGTCTATTGCGTTTTATGTACTAAGATAACTTAAAATAGAAAATCTGGCTTGATTTGAGCATGCGATATTTCAAAAATAGCGGGACAAACTACCTTCATTTCAGACTACAGCGACGACACACATAAGCTATTTTTGTTTTAAGAAGTCAAGTCTTGTCATGTGACGTGACGACCAACACCGTTCGTTTTTTATTGACTTGATGCAAGAAATAGCGTGCAATATTAATATAGTGTTAGCTAGGCCATACGAGTGAATGCTTTTAAATATAGAAAAAACCTTTTTTGTACTTTCTCAGAAAAAACAACTCCTGTTTCTAAATGATGTATTTTCAGAACAACAAACACAACCCTTAGCCTGCAAACAAGGCTACAGCACACCAGCAACTAAAAGTGGAAACGCGTGCCGCGTTTTTAGTGAGCCAAAAATACAACAGGCGGGGAGCGCCAGCACTGCCGTATAATGTGTCTTGCATGCCAGATGAAGCATATGCGCGTATCTTACACAGTGTGACTGTGGGAGCACCTGCTACCCGAGGCAAGTGGTTCGTAATAACCATGCTAACGACGCCGTCAAAAAGACCGGTAGCCAGGTATTGTGTAAAAGTCACCATGAGGTGACACTTTTGGAATGTCTTTATCAGACGCGCGCTGTGGTTGGAAGCGGTATTTGACATCAGCAGTTGAGTGAAATGCGAAAAAGAAGGTTTCTTCTCATCATCTGCTTGAGTTTTGAACATTGAGGACTCATAACTTCACTTTCCGTGCCCCGATTTCCATCATTTTTGTTGCATTCGTCTCAGTAATCATCACTACACGCGTCCCAATGCTAAATAAGGCTGTCCCAAAAGTGTCACAGGGCCCCTTTAAAACAGAACTCAGGGCAACCCACAACCGTTTAACACACACGACTGATGCTTAGACAGGTGGCATAAGCCTAGCATACAAAACACGGGGGCCAAGACCAGAAGCAAAAGTTGTGATGCCTTTTCCCTCGCCTTCTTTAGGTACAGTGATGAGCACATCTTGTGGTTGCCGACCTTCACCCAAAGGCTCGCTACACACTTAGCGGTGCTCTACAATATGGTTACAGTAAACTAGTAACGTATTTGCAAATGCAGCACCACAACTGTCACAGCAGGAAACGCTGATGCATGTGCATGATTAAAAAAATGCCTCTGCTGTTGTGGACACTTTTCGGGAGATAGCATTCATACAATTGGGACATTGGGTCGAAATTCGGCTTGGGGCTGCTTGGACGCATGAGATCACTGCGGCTAATCCTACCCTGCTTTGTTATGGGTCAACGCTCCCGAGGTGTGCCAAAAGCGGCAACAAAACGGTCGTGTTTCGGATTATTCAGTGCCATCGGCTCCCCTGGTCAAAAACTCTTTGGACACATGCGACCGACTGATGGCCTAGGAAGGGCTATTGGCAGTCAAAGCTGCCTAGAAACTGTGGTCTTTTCTGCACTGCTTTGTTCATCGAGATGCATTGGACAATGGGCCAAACGTGTGGGATCCGTCTTCGGATATGTTTTCCACATTCTGTGGTGCCTTCATGTCCCTTCCCACAGGCAATGGCCTGGCTGGCGATGCAGACCCCATTGATGAGTCAACACTGCACTGCACTACACAGTTAATTTGCACATGGGACACGCCGTCAATTGGACTGTGCTGTGCGTATCATCGCATTGTGCATTATGTAGTGCTTCCGCACAACATACAATGCGCTACACAAGACGAACTGGGCGTGCCTTTTCCCTCTTTTCTAAGTTAGGAAACACGCGGGGTTTAAGTTTTTTATTTTGGGGGCAGAGATGAAGACGACTGTCCTGACCTCGTTTGTTTTCTCTTACAGAGAATCTTCGGAAGACCAGGGCTTAAAACACAAGTGTCGAGACGCTACCATAAGCTCCCACAAAACTTAAATCGTGAGCTTCTAAATGCTACCATCGGTCATATAGTATCTATCTATATTCAGTATATAGTTACTGTAAATAAATGTTCCTGTTATCAGCCCCTGACCACATTAGCTTGTCAGAATTTTTGAAAACTGTCTATGGGCCTGCAATGCATTAGTTTAAGCCTTGAATGCAAACATTTTGCATTTCAAATTATTGTTATTTTGAACAATTTCGCAATCCCCTTCAAGTTCGATATATTCAGGATCTACTGGAGCTGAAGGCAGCGCCCTTGAAGCCGATTCACTCAGCAAAACGAGGGGAGTTAAGCCACTGCTCACCCTTGTGTAGTAGCCTGAATCCGGTTGCAGAGCCCTTGCATCACGGTAGTCTCTCTGCCAGACACGATTCTGCACACACAACGCACTGGGCTCAAATGTTGGACCACCTTGCGCATGTCCACATACAAAGTTTTGCACTGCAAACACAGTTATCTACATAACAAACAACTTCCCTTTTCAAAAACATTATTAATATAATAAACTCACTTATACAAAATGTCCATATAAACCAAGGAAGGTTGAGGCATTAAATTTAAGCTTTTCCTGATGCTGGTTGTCAAAATGCAAGGTTGCATGCAATTTTCGTCAAGACATTCTTAAATAGTCTGCTGCTGGACTTTCATTCACAGTGGCTGCAAAAACAGTAATTTTGTTTTCACCACATGCCTTTAGAATGATTCGTGACCGAGCGTCAGTAAGAAAAGGTTTTTCAAAGTCTATGAAGCTGACGAAATAATTCTTTTTGTTAGTGACATTACTTGTAGCACACACCTCGAGGTACTCGACCACAGATGTGTTATAGTCTACGGTCTTGCGCGCCACTGCCTTGCGTAGCCGTTTGCCATCAAATTCGATGCTCTGCATGGAGGTCATGCCGGGCCGACCTCCGACAGGACCATAGGGCCCTCCACCCTGGTTGCGTGGCCCTCCATAGCCCCCGCCACCGTATTTGGGGCCCCCTCCGTACTGGAAGCGGCCAGTCGGAGTGACTGGCTGCGTCTGGATCACCTGCATGCTGGACTAGGCTGCTGAAGGAGTCACCTGCACTAACAAAGAAAGGGCAATTTCGTGTGTCTCCTTGAAAGAAGAGTCCACTATGGTGCCTGTTGGTACACAGGAAAATCGACAAATCAGCCCTCAAAGACACGTACACATGTAGTCGTCAATACTTATCTTTTCTGTGCACATGTTTCTGAAGACTGGGTTTGTCGAGTTTCTAATTCCAAGGGCTTGCTTCACTGTTCGAAACAACCATGGTAAAAACCAACAGATAGTGAAGCCACATAAAAAATGAGCAATATTAATTGTAATGCCTTAACTGTGCTATAGTAATTACAACATCAAAGTTAGGAATATTAAAGTGGACAAAAAGACAACTTGGCACTGGCAGGGACTGAGTCTGCTACCATTAAATGGTGCACCTGGTGTTCTACCGATTTAGTTACGGTGGCAGTTGGGCATTCATGCAAACCAAAAAGCATTAGTAAGAGTTGCTCACAGCCATAATGACAAGTGTCATATATTGCACATGAACTTTTACTGAACAAAAAGTTTAGCAATCAGCCTTTGCATACTACCTCAACGCATGGGGTCTACCTACAGGACAATCAAAATAATAATCTTGAATGAAAAAAAAGCACAGAATTTTTTACAGGCACAACTTGTTTACAGAATACTTGCTGCAGGCAGACAGTGTGCATGGCCACCGTGATGTGGTATATGGAAAACAAGCTTCTTGCATGAAAGGCAGGCCATCCTCAAGGAAGAACTGAGTAAAACATGCCCTTACAGTGGTCCATCTATCTGTACAACTAAATGGAGCATGTCAGAACAAAGCCTTCATTCAGCAATCACGCAGCCACAGTATGTGAACTGTATACACAAGTAACCGCTGTTCAATAGACTGACTTTCCACAGTGTCTGGTGGTCATGGTGCTCGACTGCTGACTGCCGTGACCGCATCTTCGATGTAGGAGCAATGCTTACGACTTGTGTACTTAGATTCAGGTGCACGTTAAAGGACCCCAGGTGAACAAAATTTCCTGGGCCCTTCACTATGGCATCTCTCATTATCATATCGCGGTTTTGGAACATTAAAACCTAACAATTATTATTCATTATTGATGAGCGGACTTCCTCAAGGCTTTTCATAAATACTTTCTTAGAAGCTTTAAGAAAATTGTGCACACAGCAACTTGTGTGCATCACCAAAATATTTAGTTATTTTTCGAACTGTGTTGCACTGTATGTTTGTCAATGTTATCAATGAGAAATTTTATGCTACTCTGTTTTAAATCCAGCACATTCCTTCGTTGGGGGCTAAAACAAACATGGGCATGATTCCTACTGCTCCCTTTTCATTCCAATGAACTTGCCAATATCTACAGCATCAAAATGCAAAGCTTAAGATAACTGACATTCAAAACAGAAGCACTATGCAAAGCTAAACATTTGGTATTGTGCAATTTGAAGGCGAACCAAAACCCCGTAATAACTTAGCTAGGGTAGTTCTCCTCATGAAGGCAGCACCACACAAGGGCCCGCTTGAACTAAGATTCCATGAAAAACAGATAAGCTATTGCAGCACATAGCTGCAAGGTAGGGTAAACACTAGGTGAACAGACTGTTTTCAATTTGCAACATTCTCTCATGCAATTTTGGTAGAAGAGTGATAACGCTTACCATTTTGCACTTTTCTCAAAAGAATACATAGAGAAAACAAAGCCGATTGAAATGAGCCAACTTGAATTAGGACCTGAATCAACACCATTTTGGGCTCAGGTAGGAGCCAGTTTGTGTGACAAAGGTGTCATTAGACAGTAAGTGTCGTGGGGGTGCTAGAACCCCTTGTAAAGCTGCTTGTTTCGCATGGCGTGCATTTCACGCAGAAGCTGTGTTTCGGGGCCACAACTATTGAGTGGTAGGTGGCGTTGGGCTTGTGAGCATTTATTGCCACCATCATCATCATGGTTAGAAAACGATTAGTGCCGGCCGCGACGCCTGGCGGGAAGCCTTGGTGGCGGTGCGCAAGAAGTAAGCTGGTCTCATTTGACGTGCAGCGGTAGCGCGGACGGTTGCCTTCAGCAGTGAGTCTGCCATGGACGGCACCGCTGGCCGTCTGCTGTGGGCCCACATGGTGGGACAGGCGATAGCGACACCGCCTTGTTTGTCATGCTGTTGAGTGTTGTTTAATATTGTATAAGGATGTCTCAGGGTATTAATCACGATTGGTGTATAATTATTTGGCTGACGATAATGTTGCAAGAGGAAACGATAGACAGGAACTCGAAGTGGACGATTGTTTACTCAGCCACTGCAACCATTCACTTCTTCCTCCTCTTCTGCCACCAAGACAGCATGGCATTACCCTCTCCCCAAAGAAAAAAAAAAGAAGCATCGCATGAATGCCGCTGCTCTGAAAAACAACAAAAGGTAATCAGAATGTCTGTGTCCAATGAAAAGAAAAAGGGCGAGGTGAAAAAAAAAGAAGCGAGAAACAAATGTACAATTGTCTTGAAAGCAAGTGCCACATCACAAAGTTCCTGACTTGCAGTCAACACGAATAGTACGGCTTCATCTTGGAGACGTGAACTACATCCGAGGAGTGTGGTCTACGAGAACAATGCAACGTGTCTGCTGGGACAACTTAGTAGGTCACTTCCTCAAGGCGATGAAGAACTCGGTAGGGTCCGAAGTACCGACATAATTTTTCTGAGCGTCCACGTTGACGTATAGGAGTCCAAACCCAGACTAGATCACCAGGTTCGTATATTACTGCTCTGTGCTGGGTATTGTACCGGCGAGCACTTTGATTTTGCCATGATGAAAAGCGAAGGCGCGCCAGCTGCCGGGCGTTTTCGGCACGCTGAACAAATACATCTACGTCCAGGGTAATCATGTGTGGCAGAGTTGGTTGTAGCATGATGTCAAGCATTGTGGTGACGTCGCGGCCATAAACCAGACGAAAAGGAGCAAAGCCGGTGGTTTCCTGCAGAGCTGTATTGCTAGCGAATGTTAGTTACGGGAAGATTTTGTCCCGATTCTCCTGATCCTTGGCGACATACATCAAAAGCATATCTGCAATCGTTTTGTTAAGGCCTTCGGTTAACCCGTTAGTCTGCGGGTGGTACGCAGTTGCTGTTCGGTGCATCGTGCCACTCAGCAACAGGATCTCTCGGAGCAACTGTGCCGTAAAAGCAGTACCACGATCTGTGATGACCACAGTGGGAGAACGATGTTCTTAATAAAAAAAGCCACATCAAAAGCTGTTGCTCGCTGGGCGGCTTGTGTTTCGCAGTATCTGGTCAAGTAGTCGGTGGCAACCACAATCCAGCGATTACCAGCCGTGGACTTCGAAAATGGGCCGAGTAAATCCATCCCGATCTTTTCAAAAGGTGCTTGAGGGGGCAGTAACGACTGAGGCAGACCGGCTGGTTTCATCGTTGGATTTTCGCCACGCTGGCAAGCTGTGCATATTTTGACGTACTGCTGGACGGTTTTCGTAAGTTTCCGCCAGTAGTATTTGCCCTTTATCCGCGCCAGAGTACGCACGAAGCCAAGATGCCCTGACGATGGCTAGTCGTGACAAGCATGCAAAATATCATCGCGGAGAGCAGCAGGAAAAACGAGGAGGTAAACAGTTTCCGTTGGATGAAAGTTGCGCTTGTAGAGTATGTCTTAGCGTAGACAGAAAGATGACAAATCACGCATAAACTGACGTAGGGGTTGTGGGCGACGTCCCTCAAGGTATTCGATCACTGGTTGTAGTTCTAAGTCTTCGTGTTGCTGCTCAGCCACGTTTAACGATGCGAAAAGAGCAAGGCAGCTGAAGTCTTCATCCTTGTCTTCTGCAGGGATCTCGACGGGGGCGCGGGAAAGACATTCAGCGTCGGTGTGTTTCTGGCCAGACTTGTAAACCATCGTTATATCGAATTCCTGTAACCGAAGGCTCCATCTTGCGAGACGGCCCCAAGGCCGAGAAAGGCCTTGGGGTACGAGAAGGGCCTGAATTTCGTTATGGCCCATACAACTGCCAGACATTCTTTTTCATTTGTCGGGTAGTTCTCTACAGATGACAACGCGCGTCTAGCGTAGGTAATTACGCATTCCCCGCCATCTTGATATTGCACGAGAATAGCTCCGAGGCCATATCGTCGTTTCAAAAGTAGTTCAATAAATGTGTATTGTTTGGTTTGTTCCGATCGTCTCGGCTGTGTCCATGTTCCAAGAGCGTGGAGCGCTCTTGGCGAGCGCTTTCTCGTGATAACTAAACATTGCAACCCCATGCAGCAATTTTAATTGCAAAAGTGCTGGCTGCGGGCGCATATTGTAGCGAATGGCTGTTTACCACTTCCCAAGCTTCACACAGCCTTTTACCCCGTGGAAACGTTCCGCACTAAGGCAACTGCTATTGCCTTCCAAGATGGTAAATGCATAGTTCATGATTCTTAAAAATTTACTCTCCGACAAGACACAACAAAAATATAACCAAACTACACAAACGTTCCGCCACTTGTACGGGTGGCATCCTAAGTGTACACAGACACCACATAAGTGGAAGCCACCCAGTCCACTGCTGGTCACATATGTCACTAAAAATGTCTTCTAGGGGCCGTTATTCTTGCAAGCCATTTTCAGCTGTGACGGATGAACCACAACTTCGGAAGTTTTCTTTTTCCCCACCTTGGTTTCCAACCAGAGTACTTTCATTATTGAAGTCAAAAGTATGCCCTGTTGTTCGGACATTTACAGGGAATATGTGACTGGCAGTGGACAGGGGGGTGACCCGCACTTATTTGGGGTCAATGCATACTGAGGATGCCACCCACATATGTGGCCGAACGTCCATGCAATTTTGCAATATTTTTCTCAAGTAGAAGTAAATCTTTTAGAATCATGAGCTTGGCCGGCGATTGGAAGATTTTTGCAGTGTAGTACTTTCAAGCGTTATTAAGCCCACAGCCAAAGTGAGAAAACCACCCTCCCATTTAATTAGAAATACGATGTGTCTCTCTCAAATTTTGTTTTCAATGCAAATCAGCACTCC